TTGATTGTCTGTTTTGGTGGCTTTCACTTGAGGTCGATAATATGGATTCTGTCAGAGTCGTGGTAGATCTCGCTGGAGAAATTCTGATTCTGTTTGCAGCCTACGCTGTTCAGTCTCATATATCATATTTTGACACCTCACTATTAATAACAATATATAACACGACGGTAGACCTCTAAACACATAAAAATATCATTTTGTTGTTGCTAAAGAAGTAATTGTAATTGTTGAAGTAATTGTATATGACAAAGGACCGGTGTCTGGGATGTTTTTAAGAATACTGACGTCAGCAAAGCTGACATCATTTTTCGATTGTCGAGGTTTTGTTTCATAAAAACTGTAGTAAATAACACACATAAAATACATGCACAGTAATTACAATTAAAAATGGAAGTTGTTAATAACAGTTTTACATAGATCCAATCAAAATTTATTAACTTTGTGGGCGTTGCGTGATAATTCCTTTTCCAATAAATTCATTTAATTAAGCAATTTAGTGTGGGGACAGATTAAGAATACAGAGTGTCACCACTCCTATTCATCCCGTGGGTGTCATAAGAGGCGACTAAGGGAGCAGACTACGCAAGACAACAGCACTGCAGAGAGAAGGAAAACTTGACACAAACCCTATACCAACCCGTCTGGCCAGCGCGGTATAGTAGGTCAAAACCGCCTTTATAAGGAGAGGCCTATGTCTAGCAGTGGACTGTTAAAGGCTGTCGATGAAGCAATTTAGTAGCTAATGTGCATCCTACTTCAGTAAAGTATGTGTTTACTACATTCGGTGAATCCGGTGGTGAAGCTCTTATATTTAATATTTCTGTAGTTGGCTTTTCTTTATCTCACCAATTTCTTTTATAACCTTCCATGTATCCCTAATAGATCAAACCTTTAAAGCAGAACTTTTTATGTCATAATAATTTTGCTAACAACGGGTAGCATAAACTTCATTTCGCAGAAAATCGTTTGGCAGACACTCATTTATCATACATTCATAATTCTGTAAGTCATGATCATCTTTAGACATAAACTTTATATCCATAATAATTAAAAAGTAGATAGTGATAGGCATAGTCGTTTCGTTTAGAAAATTCCCTGGCTATATAATACCGTCTCTTAACTTTAGTTGTAAGACTTTCTGAGATACCTAAATATGTGTGAGGTATTAAGTCGGTTGGTCCTATTTGCCCTGTTGTACTTTTTTAAGTTTGTTAGCAGTTTATCCCTTGTTATTACTGATGAAAATTCATCTGTTTTAGGACCATTATTTTCAGGTTTACTGTTGTTGATAATACGGTACATATCTCTTACCTCATTAGCATGTATTTCGTTGTTGACAGCGATTCCTATAGTCTTAACAGTGTTTATTAGACCCTCCTTAGTTTCACCAGATGTTTTGGGAACATTGCGAATTTCTAGGCATGAGGATTTCGAGTTCTTTTCTAGGCTTTCCACTTTTTCCTCCAATGTCCAAAAATACCCTAATGCACTCTTTCTTTCATGCTCCAAATAAGCCAACTTTTCCAACATATCATCATACTTGCTACTTAAGAAATCTACCGTAGCCTGTAGTTTATGCATTATTATTAGCACTATGCGTTCCTGGTACTACGGTACGCTCAGGAAAGTAAAATTTTGATGATTTGATTAATTTTTTACTTGAATTTAATTTTAAATGAACAACAACAACTAAGTGGACACGTCCATACGCCTTAGCGATCCGGAGGGAAGGGGTGTAAATCGAACTGTACTTCTCATTCCCATTCTTCCTGAGATTCGATTATCGTAATACAAGTTAGTTCCTATCTATTCTTGATCTTACATATATCACAAAAGGTATTTTCATAGTAAAGTATCACAGCTGGACATAGGCCTCTTCTTAGAAAGGAGGTATTGGCCTACTACGACGCTATACTTCCGTTAACATAATATATCAGAATCTTTGAGAGACACCACTAACTAATTTAAAGTTGGAAACTCTTTTGAGCTTAGTAAGAGTACATGTTATTACGCCTGCCCGTTTGCCTCTTCTATAAAAATAAAAATTACAGCTATTGTGAAATCATCAGTACCGTACTGGTATTGATGATTTTACGATGGCTGTAATTTTAATATCACCAGTTCTTACTGGTGATGATTTTTTTGTTTTTACGAAGCGTCGACAATTTTGGTAATAATTGGTAAAAATTTAGTATAATAAGATCATACAATAATTCAGTCAATTAATATCTGAAGTGGTCGAGTTTTTTTTTTTGGAGTTCACTTATAAATATATATATATATATATATATATATATATATATATATACCTCAGCCTATGCTTGTCCACTGCTGGACATAGGCCTCTCCCAATGATTTCCAGCGGGAACGGTTGATAGCGGCCTGCATCCAACGGTTTCCGGCAACCTTTACCAGGTCGTCCGCCCATCGGGTAAGCGGTCGTCCCACACTGCGCTTTCCAGTACGTGGTCTCCATTGGGGAACTAAACTAAATTGTTCCAAATCTTTGATGCAGCGTATTTGTGAATTCCTTTATAACCCTGTGATCTATGTCTCAGTATGATAAGTTTTAAAATTACCTGAGACCTAGTATTCAAGTTGTGCGCATCCACACACCAAGATAACTTATCCTATAGATATAGTGGTTATTTGCTTGTGATGATGATATGACTGAAACAAATGCTGATGACGTCCCGATTCCATATTAAGTGGTCTCTTTCCGTTTATAATTGGGGAGATGTGCGACCATTATGGGACTTTAGGGGGATAAACATGTATTGATGATACTACGAGTACATAATGTTTAAAGTAGTATGAGAATAATAATTTAATAATAATTTAATTTAATCATATTAATAATAAAAAATAAAAATAAAGAAAGGAATACATAGATAAATTAGAAGCCAACATCGTCATAACCATCCTTCTAAAATAATCAGCCATACACAGTGACGATACTCAGTAAAGTTTTGGGCTATACGGTATTCATACACAACACACAGAACCAACACAAACAAAATACCCAGGAATCGAAAAACATGCATCAGTCACAGGACCCACAACGACAGGGCTCGCAACAATCGCCAGACATACCGCAATCTCTAGACACTCCAGACCCAATCAACATAGCACATACACTGGACACACAACAGACATTAAGCATACGACGGGTAAGAGGAAGGCGAAGAGGAAGAGGACGAGGAACGAGAAGGGCCGCAAATGACACGCACCACACGACAGACACACACTAGTTAGGTTCCTCTCATACAATGAAACTACACATTAAAAATTAAATTACAGTATATCTATTCATACACACCATTCATATCTAACTAACTTTATCAATTTTGAAGTAATGGGGACATAGATGTCCTTTTTCCTGTGGGTTACGGGACGGGGTATTTATAAAACCGACAACAAAGTCGAGATGTTGAAACCAACACATAATATTGAACAATATAGTAATAATAATTTAATAAGCCATTTTTATTTTGGATCATCACAAAGAAAACTAATAATTCATGTGGTAAAACTATATTATTTTCTTAGATTGTTTTAATCATAATGGCATTACAAAACTCTTCGTACAGTAGCTACTTGTGATGTGCTGGATCCCTAGAAATGTCCATAAACACAGATACGAAGTCTAGACCCAAAAATACGGATAGAATAGCTAAGGCTAACACGCGTGATCTTGAAATAACAGTTGACGTTGACGACTAAAAACAAAAAATAATCTTTCGACTTGCACCGCCCTTGTTTTTTAAATTATTTATTTAATCAAAATACCGCATACATTTCTAGTATAATCTCGTTATAACAATAGTGCTCAATGACTGTTAATTATAATAACACCATGGTGTCCATTTTATTAGTAACAATATTCTTAGGGACTAGTGTTAGCATAATACATAAAGAAAAAAAACCATAAAACAAAACAAAACAAAGAATAATAGACATATACAAACACAACAATCATTGCTGCGCCATTCCGTACGCAAATGCGCGGCAACGATTGAAAACGAAACTCCTCACGTGTACTGCTTCCTCTGGCCTCAAAGACCATGACTTCACTTTTTATTGGATTATATTTTAATCTATGATGTTCGGCGTATGCTTCACAAATTATAAGCAGTTTCTTTAACCCACATACAGCTGCACTCAACAGCACTCATGTCATCGGCGTAGCTTATATTGTTAACATTAATTCCATCAATGTGACAGCCCACACGTGTGCTGCTGAGTGCAATAATCAGGTCATTCATGTACAGGTTAAATAAGGTTGGCGAGGATAACAACCCTTGCCTCACCACACATTCTAGTCTGTACGATTGCGACATGGTTCCCGACCACGGCACCTCATTGACCTGGTTTCCATACCAGTACTTGCGAAAGTTAATGAGTTCTACTAGTAGATTAGTCTTTTCTAACTTCCTCCATAGAATGTTATAGGAAACCAGGTCAAAAGCTTTCGAAAAGTCGAGAAAACATGCGTGGACTGTAGTTTGACGTCTCGTATAGTATCTGAGAGAATGCTTAACACACAAAACTGCGCTTTCAGTAGATAGTCCAGCTCGAAAGCCGAACTGATTGTCATGAGGTTTGATGTGTTGGGTCAGCTGTGAGTTCAGCACGTAGTAGTAGTAATACTAGTAATAGGAGTATTTCAATTTAGTGGAACGAATCTACCACTTTGTAAATATAATAAAATTTAATAATTTAAAAGATCCGTTCAAGATCCGCATAAAAGTAACTGGTATGGACACAGCTAAAGATCTATTTCCAGCATATCACTAGAAGCTAAATATAATTATAATACACTTCTAGTACATGTGTTAAATTAAATAAACTTATTCTATCCGCCGGACTGCAGTAGATGAAACCTGTTATGTAAATACTTCACCTAAAGGATAATGTAATAACACACAGAAACCAAAAGAAACTGACAAAAATGTTAATTAGAAAAAAAAAAACAGGGAGTCCCTTTAGTCGTTGAGGAGTTAAAAACTAAAATACTTTGTATCTTTTCTTTCGACCAATCTTACTCGGAATTCATCAACATCCTTCATCATGAGGCTATATGTAAGTTTAATAGGTTCATGGTTTACTTCGCCGCTTCTGCTGTTTACATGCTTGGGCAGAACGCAATATTTTCGTAGAAATGTTGCTAGTACTGTTTTCAGTGAAGCTATGGCATATTGATATCCTGCAATATTAATAAAATTTACATAAATTACGTTTACGATTTACGTTCCGATTATCCGTGTGGTGACGGATTATGAATACGGGGTGTCACCGCCCCTATTCATCTCGTAGGTGTCGTAAGAGCCGACTAAGGGAGCAAACTACGCAGGACAACAGCACTGCAAAGAGAGGGAAAACTTGACACAAACCCGTCAAGTATACTAAGTATACAAGTATACTAACCCGTCTGGCCAACGTGATATAGTAGGCCGAAACCTCCTTTCTAAGGAGAGGCCTATGTCCAGCAGTGGACTATTTAAGGCTTTTAATGATGATGATGACGACTTTATCTCTTGTTTTGTCGCATTCACTGATTGATCTTGGGATAGGTACGATGGTGAAAATCAACATCAACATTTATTGATACTACCAGTATATACAATTAGTAAATTTTAATAAAGTCAAAATATAGGCGGTTTGGTTTAGTTTGTTGGAAATCGAGCAGAGCGTAAAATCACATGTCACAAGTTCGAAATAGCTCAGCGTGCGATCGAGTGTGCGATGCTGGATGTTTCTCTAGTTGAAGACATTCGAAACGAAGGGCAAGTCATGTCTCAGGGCAGACTGATGATCGTTGGAGCCGACATTTGGTAGAGTGGAGACAGCGATTGGGCAAACGTAGTGTAGGGCGTCCTTCGGCACGGTATACCAAGACTGACTGATTACCCAAGACCTGCCCAAGACCAAGGAATATTAGGCGCCTCTTGGAGGAGGTCTTCTTTTAGTAAAAGTCGGTGATAGGCCAATGATGACTTGGTTTAGTAGTTTTAGAAAAAACAAGAGAAAACTTTTTCCTATTTTAGACTATTGTTATAAATTGTCAACTACTCACTTGAGGATAATAATATGCTATATTCTTACTCACCTAAACAGTTTCTGGGTCCGTGGCTAAACGATAAGAAGGCAGCTGGATGCCTCGAATTGCTTTCAAGAAAACGTTCAGGGCGGAACTCCTCTGCATCTTCTCCCCAATACAAAGGATTGCGATTGTTACCCCAGATACTTATCATTACTCCGCAGCCTTTCTTCAGAGTTACTCCCGATGCTAAATTTAGAAATAACAGCTTTAATAATCCATATTGGCAGTTTTAGAAAATAGCATAGTTAAATATCCAGCTTACTGATAAAATTGAGTAAGAAAACAATAATTAAAGATTTAGCTAATATTTACGATATAGGAAATATCTACAAATTTTTCCATTCTAAATTGACCTATAAAGTACCTTCTTGTAGAATATAACTTATTAAGGCTGAAGTCTAGACGAAAACTTCAAAGGTATAAGTTTGATTAAAGCGGCATTACTAATTAATACATCACACATCTCACACACGACCATCTGGTCCCAAACTAGACAGCGCCTGTGCTATGGTAACCAGACTGCTGATAAACATACTTATATATTTTTAAATATTATAGATAAATTACACCCATAAAAAAAAAAATGACTGTGCTCATCACACAATAATTGTCCTGAGTGGGAATCGAACCCACGACCTCCGGCTTAGCAGTCAGGGTCACTAAACACTAGACCAATATGCCCGGTCGATTTAATTATTTATGTTGGTGGTACCTAGCACTCCTAAGTGCAGAAATAATGGAAAAGGCTCCTCTCCGCCACATTATGGGAACGTAGAACACACACCTTGCTAATATTGTCAGTTTTGCATAGTCGCATTAAAATTCTAAATTGCAGCAACTCATCATCTGCCTACCCTTTTGCCAATTTTATTTGGGGTCGGCGCAGTATGTATGATTTTGCCATTCTACTCTGTCATGCGTCATCTCACTGTTTCCTCCCTTCCTAGCCATATCCTCCCTCACGCAGTCCATCCACCTTTTCATTGGTCTGCCTCTTCTCTTGTACCCTTCAACTCCCATACCTAAAACTTTCTTCGCCACATTTTCCTCATCCCTCCGCATCACATGTCCATACCAAGATAACCTATTACTTCTTAACTTTTCATCCAGTGGCGCTACTTATAGACTCCCTCGTATATACTCATTTCTAACCTTGTCCATCTGAGTCGCACCACACATCCATCTCAGCATTCGCATTTCGACTACGTTCAGGCGTCTCTCATCCGTTCTCTTAATGGGCCAACTTTCAGAACCATATAGGACGGCAGGTCTGCTAATAGTTTTAAAAATTTGTCCCTTCAGTGTCAAGGGGAAACTGGGGTCACAATTTGTTCCCGTTACCTGCCGCCACTTCATCCATTCCGTATTGATTCGATGCTGTACAGTTCGATCAATCTCACCGTCACATTGTAAGAGGGAGCCGAGGTACTTGAAATTGGAGAAGACTGTTCTCGCGATCCCATCCAGCGAAATGGTTTCAGGACTGGAGAGACCGCCGAAATTGCAGAACATGTACTCAGTTTTGGTTCTGCTGATTTTCAAGCCAACATTCTCCAGCCATTTTTCCAGTCTGCTCTGGACCTCAACCCCATCTTCACCGACCAACATCAATGTCATTTGCAAATAGCATGCACCAAGGTGCCTCCTCCTGTATGTCCGATGTCAGAGCATCCATTATCAACAGGAAGAGGTATGGGCTCAAAGCTGATCCCTGGTGCAAGCCTACAGAGACACTGAATTGATCAGTGTTTCCCGTGACCGACCTTACATGAGTGCTAGACTCTCTGTACATAGCATACTTAACAGGCACTCTTTCTTATTTCAAAGCCCACCACAAAACTTCTCGGGGTACCCTATCATATGCCTTTTCGAGATCCACAAACACTATATGCAAGTTTTTGTGCGCACTCCTGTATTTCTCACATAGTTGGCGCATTGCAAATATAGCATCTGTTGTCCCGCGTCCTGGCATAAACCCAAATTGACTTTGGGTTATCTGACTCTCATCTCTTATTCTTCTCTCAATCACTTTCTCCCAGACTTTCATAGTATGTGTCATGAGCTTTATTCCTCGATAGTTGTTGCATTCCTGAACATCTCCTTTATTTTTGAAAATGGGTACGAGTTGGGTTTGACACCATTCCTTTGGGATTACCTCTTCAAGCAACAACATATTGAAGAATAGAGTTAGCCACTCATATCCGTCTTCTTTCAGTAGCTTCCAAATTTCCACTGGTATACCGTCGGGGCCAACTGCTTTTCCATTTTTCATACTTCGTACTGTGAATCTAACTTCATCTATACTAATCACGTTCACCAGTCCGACATTCACATCCACATGCTTTAGCACTCCGCTCCATTTATTCTCTTCATTCATAAATTTTTCAAAGTAAGTTTTCCATCGCTTTTTTATATCTTCATCTTTAACCAATACTCTCCCTTCTTTATCTTTCATACATCTCACATGCTTCAGGTCTTTTGCTCTTTCTTCCCTGTTCTTTGTAATGCGGTAGAGTTCTTTTTGACCTCTAGGTTCATGTAGGTGTTTAAATATGTTGCTGCTGGACGAGGCGGGCAAACTTTTTGAGAGGGTGCTCTCTGCCCGCATCGTCCGGCACCTTTGCGAGGTTGGCCCCGATCTGTCGGACGCCCAATTCGGTTTCCGAGAGGGGCGTTCGACGATCGATGCCGTGATGCGCCTTAGGGCCGTGACCGAGGAGGCCGTGAGCTGCGGCGGAGTGGTGTTGGCGGTGTCCTTGGACATCGCCAACGCCTTCAATAGTCTGCCATTCAGCTGCATCAGGGAAGCGCTCCGCTACCACGGAGTGCCGGAGTACCTGAGGCGGCTGGTGGCAGACTATCTTGAGGAGCGAACCGTCATGTATGAGGACCGAGATGGCGTCTTGAGACGCAGGGCCATGTCGTGTGGTGTTCCGCAGGGGTCTGTCCTAGGACCTCTCCTGTGGAACATCGGGTACGACTGGGCCCTACGAGGGCGTCTCCCCCCCGGGCTGGGTGTAATCTGCTACGCGGACGACACCTTACTCACGGCCCGGGGGGCTAACTTCCAGGAGGCGGCGCGCCTGGCCGCCACGGGAGTTTCCCAGGTGGTCGGGCGCATTGAGGCGTTGGGTTTGCGGGTGGCCCTGGATAAGACGGAGGCCCTATTATTTCATGGGCCCCGTCGTGGTCCGCCCGCCGGCGCCTCAATCGAGGTCGGCTCGGTCCTCGTACCGGTCCGGGCCCAGATGAGGTACCTGGGTCTGGTCCTAGACGGTAGGTGGCTCTTCGACGAGCACTTCCGACAGCTTGGTCCGAAGCTGGTGGACACTGCCTCCGCCCTAGGGCGACTTCTGCCCAATTTGGGCGGGGCCAGTGTTCCCACGAGGCGGCTGTACGCGGGGGTTGTCCGGTCCATGGCGCTGTATGGTGCACCGGTGTGGGTGGCGGCTCTGACCGCCCCGAATAGGGCGCGCCTCTGGCGCCCCCAGAGGATATTGGCGGTCAGAGCCATACGCGGATACCGCACGGTGTCCACCGAGGCGGCTTGCGCCTTGGCCGGAACACCCCCGTGGGATTTGGAGGCGGAAGTGCTCGCCGAAGTTTATCGGCGAGTGGCTGACGTCCGGGCGGAGAGCGGATTTCGCCCGCCGCCCGAAGACGTGCGCGAGTGGGCGCGAAGCCGCTCGCCGAGCCACTATGGTGAGATGGTCGTTCCGGCTGGAGACTCCACGCGCTGGCTTCGCCGCCGTGGAGGCTTCTCCAGCCGGTCATCGCCGAGTGGGCAGGGCGGCAGCACGGGACCCTTTCCTTCCGGCTGACGCAGGTGCTTTCCGGGCACGGTTGCTTCGGAAAGTACCTGTTCTCGGTCGCTAGGAGGGAATCGAGTCCCGCCTGCCACCACTGCGACTGCGGTGAGGATTCGGCCCAAGCAACACGCTGCCCGGTTTTCCCCCCCCGAAGGGGGCCCCCGACCAAAAGCAGCCCCCCCGGTGTTTTGTAAATACTTCACCTAAAGGATAATGTAATAACACACAGAAGCCAAAAGAAACTGTCAAAAATGTTAATTAGAAAAAAAAAACCCGAGGAGACCCTTTAGTCATTGAGGAGTTAAAAACTAAAATACTTTGTCATATTTTCTTTCGACCAATCTTACACGGCATTCATCAACATCCTTTATCATGATTCTATATGTAAGTTTAATGGGTTCATGGTTTACTTCGCCGCTTCTGCTGTGTTCATGCTGGGGGAGTACGCGATATTTTCGTAGAAATGTTGCTAGTACTGTTTTCAGTGAAGCTATGGCATATTGATATCCTGGAAGATTAATAAAATTTACATAAATTACTTTTATGATTTCCATTCCGATTATCTGTGTGAGTGTGAGTGTCACCACCCCTATTCATCCCGCAGGTGTCGTAAGAGCCGACTAAGGGAGCAAACTACGCAGGACAACAGCACTGCAAAGAGAAGGAAAACTTGACACAAATCCTTTACCAACCCGTGTGGCCAGCGTGGTATAGTAGGCCAAAACCTCCTTTATAAGGAGAGGCCTATGTCCAGCAGTGGACTATTTAAGGCTTTTGATGAAGATGATGACGACTTTCTCTCTTATTTTGTCGCGTTCACTGATTGATCTGGTGACAGGTACGATGGTGAAAATCAACATTAACATTTATTGATACTACTAATAGGTATATACAATCAGTAATTTTAATAAAGTCAAAAATTTAGGCAGGTTACATTTGGTTTAGTTTGTTGGAAATCGCAGAGCGTAAAATCACGTGTCACAAGTTTGAAATAGCTCAGCGTGCGATCGAGTGTGCGATGCTAGATGTTTCTCTAGTTGAAGACATTCGACAAACTGTTCGACGGCGAACTAGAGTTTACGACCTCGCACCTCTGTGCGAGAATCAGGACGCTGAAATGTCTACGGGCAAGTCATGTCTCAGGGCAGACTGATGATCGTTGGAGCCGACATTTGGTAGAGTGGAGACAGCGATTGGGCAAACGTAGTGTAGGGCGTCCTTCGGCACGGTAGAACAAGACTGACTGACTACCCAAGACCTGCCCAAGACCTGCCCTAAAAGTCGGTGACAGACTAATGATGACGTGGTTTAATAGTTTTAGGAAAAATAAGAGAAAACTTTTCCCTATTTTAGACTATTGTTATAAATTGTCGACTA